TTAAAGTGCTCCAACGCCTTTTCACAGCAAGTACCAGAAAGAGAATGAAATCCGACATTCCTTGCTGTTTGATAAAGGCTCTACAGGATTTGGCTCCTATCTGTAACCAAATTTCCTCCTACCATCCCCCTCACATATGACCCTGTGGACACCCCGGCCCTGGATCGACTCTTCAGCAAGTTCAAGCTCCGACCTCAGAGCCTTTGCACGTGCTGTTCCCCCAGTCTTCCAGGACCAGTACCTCCCCCTCCTGCTGGCCTCAGCCTCAGTATCACTACCGCAAGAGAAGGCTTTCAGGTCACCCTCTCTAAAGTAGCTCCATCCCCTTCCAGACATTGACGCCCCCTACCCGGCTGGCAGTTTCCTGTGGCACCAACCCCATCACGTGCCGACCGCCTCCCTAACCAAAACGGAGACCGGGGTCTCGTCTGTCGTGTTCACGGCTGCGCACCTAAGCGCCTGGAAGAGCTGCTTCGCCAGTAGGGTGCACATCCCTCCACGTTCTAAATATTCTACCCTGAGCGTGACTGGTGGGGGTGGGGGTGGGGGGCCAGGTGAACTTAAACCACACCCTGTCTGGAGAGGAGGCTATAGTTGCGGTGTCCGTATATGGACTCAGCCACATCACACCCAGGCAACAGGGGTGCAGGGGGGAGCCAATTTTAGCTACCCCTGCCCACCTGCTCTAAGACCCACACCCATTGATCCAGGTCTCCATTCATGCGTCTTCTGCCTTCTGTAAACGGGTCACAACAGGTACCGAGGATAAGATAAGGAAGGAGACGCACAGTAAGGGAGGAAGCTCGGAGTTTAAAGGGAAGTCACTCTGGGAAAATTCCGGTACCAAAAATAGGAGCTCGTCAGAAAAAATGGCACACGAGGGAAGTAAGAGCAAGACTGAATTCACACAGACAAGAATTCCAGTCAGCGCACGGTGGGTGGGCCCTTCCCTCACCCCCGAATTCCCATCCAGCCATTTAAGTTCAACTAGTACTTACGTGCACCACCCCCCCGCCACTCCAGGCCCCCGCCTCGCGTCGTCGAACCCAGTCCCCCCATTCCCACCCAGCTGGCCCCGCCCCACCGGCGCCCCTAACCCCATGGACGGGGGGGGTTGGGCACCCCCCCCCCCCCGCCCCCCGCCCTTCCTTCTCCAGGCCGGAGATCACCTCCACTGTCCACCCACCAGCTGCCTGAGAGTAAGCCCTCGCTCTTAACATCCAAGTGGACACCAAGGGCCATTGACTTTGGAAGACTGTCTCTCATTTACTCCTTTTTCTCTATCACCACCATGAGATCTTAGATGAGGCCTTTATCATCCGTCCCCCCGTAGGAACAGCCCCTGTTGGCTTTTCTCCTACCCTGCCCATCCCCCCACACTGCCATTTCTCACCACAAAAAGGGCTAAAATTCAGGTCCCTCCCGTGAGCACTCGGTGCCCGTGTGTCCAGCCTCACTGCTTGGTCACGGCTGGATCGAAGCGAACCCAGAGACGTTCTCACCCCGTGCCCTTTACACTTACGTGATTTTGCACACGCTGCTGCTCCCTTACCTGTTTCTGACCTGCCCCCGAGCCCCTCGGGCACTAGTCCCCACGTAGGCTCCCACAGCAGCGGACACATGTTGTGACAGCCACAAGGCACCCGGGACCCAGAGGTCCGGCGAAGCTGTGCATTTCCTTTCCCTGCCACCCCAGAAGCCAGGAGTGACTCCACGACATGGCTCTGACTAATGAGATCTGAGTGGGAATCTGCTGGAGGGAAACCTTTGTTTCCTCCTTCTTCGACCACCAGCAGCGTGTCTGGAGCTCAGGGCCCGTCTTGTGACTCTGAGGGCCTTGCATGAGGACGGAAACAGCCTGGGATGAAGGGACCAGCCACCTGGAGCAGCCAGCCCTACACCAGCAACTGCTCACAGCCAGACCTTTATCATGGGAGAAAAACCGCACCCCCCACCCCATCAATTTAAACCATTACAAACTGCAATTTTTGTTTACCGTGGCTGAAAGCAATCTTAATTGGTATTCTATTATAACGATCCGTTTACAGGGTTCTTTAAGATATGCTTCATCCCTCGGGCTCTATCTTCTTTCTCCCTCTAACTCTGGAACCCAGCAAAGCCTCTCAAGTGGTGAGCCCCACTGCTACACGAGGCTCTGAGCATCGTCGCCCAGGAGGAAAGCAGTCCTACAGGCTGTTACAGGCAGACTGGAGGCAGACCTGACCTTTACTCTCAACGTTATTCCAGAAAAGCATCTCTTTTGGAGCAATTTACAGGGGTACCTGCCCAACAGATTACAAATACATATGGGGCGCCTGGGGGGCTCAGCCAGTTAAGTGTCTGACTTCTGCTCAGGTCATGATCTCGCAGTTCGCACATTTGAGCCCCACATCCCGCTCTGTGCTGACAGCTGGGAGCCTGGAGCCTGCTATGGATTCTTGTGTCTGCCTCTCTCTCTGCCCCTCCCCTGCTCACACTCTGTCTCTCTCTCTCTCTCTCTCTCTCTCAAACAAACATTAAAAAAAAAATTAAAATACATGTGTAAAATGTAACCAAACTTCCATCATGGGGAAATGAGTTCACATGATCACAAAATAACTTTCGAGGCTAATTCATTTTACCATTAACGTCTAATTATAATTAATTACTTCCATGTCTGTTTTATCCTTCAATGGAGATGAAATTAGCAATGTAATGAGTCTGCTGAATTCAAGCTAATCACCAGGTCAAAAGCAAGGCTGGGCTTCCCCAAAGTCCCTAAGAGTTCAGCAGTGAGAATGTGAATTACTCCTTTATTCCTCACCTGGCCAGCTTGCAATAAATCAGTCTGAGTTAAGCCCATAGCGACACCAATGCTGTGCAACTGTTAAGTCTTATAAGTGTTTCCACGACTTTTCAAATCTACCCCTGGTGCAAAAAAGTCAGATTTTATCAGAGGACTATTTTCCAATTTATTTAAATGTTACCGAAATGTTTAAAGCCTCAAACCAGTATCATACGGCTTCCTCTCACTGCTGCTTCCCACACTCTCGGGGTGTTGTGCTAATTTGTCATCAGTCTCTTTTCCGTTCACCCCCAACGCTCCATGTTAGCAACCGCATAAAGCAAGAATGAGGCGGGAAGGGCCCCCCTGAGGATCTCTATCAGGTGACTTCCAACCTGGGCCACACATGTAACAAGGAATCAGCATTCAGGACTGCTTTGCAGAAAGGAGTTTTCAGGATAAAATTCAGGAGTACAAAATGAAAACAAACTGCAACCAAGCAAACATGAACAAGCCACAATGTCTAATTCACGGGATGACTGATAGCCTGTGGTTTTTAAAAAACTGGACACCTTAAAAAGCAGATTCCGGGGCGCCTGGGTGGCTCAGTCAGTTAAGCATCCGACTTCGGCTCAGGTCATGATCTCGCGGTCCATGAGTTCGAACCCCACGTTGGGCTCTGTGCTGACAGCTTGGAGCCTGGAGCCTGTTTCAGATTCTGTGTCTCCCTCTCTCTGACCCTCCCCCGTTCATGCTCTGTCTCTCTCTGTCTCAAAAATAAATAAACGTTAAGAAAAAAAAAAAAAAGCAGATTCCTTTCCCCAGGATATTAATGGGGGGGGGGATCAAGTATTCAATATACACAATGTTCAACGCTTTTCCAGCCATTAGATTCCTCCGACTTTAAATGTTCTTGGCAGAGGAGTGAACAGGAAGTCTGCTGGTGAAAAGGAGGGTACCTCTTATACGAGAGATTCCATCAGGTAACATAAAGTTGGCAGATACGAGAGATCCTCTCGTATCTAACCACAAAAAGCAGGAATACAGTTGTGCTGGTCAGATCTCTATGACACATCTACAATATAGCAAACACTTTTAGATGCTTTAGAAGCTGAAGGTTCTTCGAAGAAACAGGACCAGAGACATGTCCCCTCTTACCTTATGAAGAATAAAGATGTGCAAACAGAAAGAGAACATCTTAAAAAATGCAGAACAGTGGGGCAACTGGGAAGCTCAGGCGGTTAAGCGTCCGACTTCGGCTCCAGTCACGACCTCACAGTTGGTGGGTTTAAGCCCCATGTCAGGCTCTGTGCTGACAGCTCAGAGCCTGGAGACTGCTTTGGATTCTGTGTCTCCCTCTCTCTCTGCCCCTCCCCTGCTTGGGCTCTGTCTCTCTCTCTCAAAAATAAACACTAAAAAAAAAAAACTTTTTAAAAAATGTAAAACAGTGAATGATTAGGGGTCAGCTGAGTGGTGAAAAATGCACTATATGATACAGAGAGAGGGAGGCAAGCACTACACGAGGTCAGTGGTAGACCTTTCTTTGATTTGGTCCAGATTCAGGGTCACATGAATGAAAAACTCAAATCCTGTATATTCCTTTCTTCTTTTGGTGCATCAGGACCTGAGCCCAATTGTAGGGCCAAAAGCCATGGGTAAAGACACACGTGGGTGCAAAACTGCAGGGAGCAGACTTTTGGTCGGAGGCAACTAATCGTCACTAGGCTTACAGTTTACTCGTCCGAAGAGGGAGTGGTATCACTTGTTTTGTGGGCAATTACCCTGGGCTAGCAGGAAAAACCTATCTGCCACTTCCGTGGGTACACACTCTCCCCTTTAGAGCCAAACATAGGAAGAACAAGCTGCTTGGAGGAATCACGTGAATTCCTCCCTTTCTAAAAATACGACTTTCTGGCATAAAACACCACAGCACATGGCTCAACTTAGTCACCCAGCCCGTGGCCAGTGCTGGAATGTGCATCACATCGCGCTCTGCACCAGCTGGGTCCCCACAGCCCTGCACCTGTGCCATTGGGCAGCTCGGCCAGAAAGGACGGCCATAAGACCGACCCCCACTTAGAGGAGGCTGGGAGGCTGGCAGCTTCTGGAATGTTCACAAAGCTGCTGCACGACGGAACTTATTCCACAGGGCTTTCGTCCCATCCAAGGGAAAGGAAGCATTCTCATGTGTGCTAAGAAGCGGGTCAACTTTCTTCCTTCCTTCCTTTCTTTTTAATTTTTTTTATTTTTGGGGGAAATCGATCATCAAGCGCACACACATCTTCCCTTCCTGACCCACTCTATGTGACATAAGGAAACAGCTGTCGTGAGCTCCCCGTGTAGGGCAGGCACACTGTAGTGTCGGGGGAAGTGAAGGCACACGGGATCTCCCCACTTTAAAGCACCTCATCAGGGGCGCCTGGGTGGCGCAGTCGGTTAAGCGTCCGACTTCAGCCAGGTCACGATCTCGCGGTCCGTGAGTTCGAGCCCCGCGTCGGGCTCTGGGCTGATGGCTCAGAGCCTGGAGCCTGTTTCCGATTCTGTGTCTCCCTCTCTCTCTGCCCCTCCCCCGTTCATGCTCTGTCTCTCTCTGTCCCAAAAATAAAAAAAAT